CCCCCCCCGCCATGGCTCCTGCTCCGGGTGGGCTGTCTCCCCGCATGCCGAGTTATGGCACTATCTGTTCAGCGCTCTGACATCTTTATTACAAACAGTCGGGGAAATGCAGCCAGAATGGCAGATTTCTTTAATCATGCTATTACACAGCTCTTCCCTTTGTTATATATAGGCTTTAATATGTCATACATCAGGCAATGGGTCAACAGAGAATAGACTGGAGAATTTAGTGCGGGACAAATAAATTAGCCATTCAAGCCAGGAGGAGCCTCCTCTCTCTCCCTGTCCCCTCCCAGGGTAATAAAGAGGAACAAATGGGCTTTTTTATTTGTCCCATTAGCAGTGCAAATGTTGTAATGACAAAATAAGTGGAAGAAAAAAGACAGGCTGACAACGTGCGCCCGGAGCAGCCGAGGGGGCTTGGGAAGGCAGGTGAACGGGGCTGCTGGCTTGCATGGGAAGGGGGCTCGTGGTGAGGCTGAGCTTCCCCGTCCCAGCAGCGAGCCTGTGGTGCGCTCCCCTCCGCTCCTGGGCAGCGCTGCTGTCGGCTCGCAGGTACCAGCCCAGGCAGTGGTGGGGATGGGGGGACGGGGTCCAGCCCCTCCGGGCTTCTCTGCTGCTCCCCATGCTTCCCGAATTGAAACAAAAAATAGAAACCCTGCTGCTGCCTGGGCAGCACGCATGGGCATGCGAGCGAGACGAAGCTGGTGCTGACCCTGTATTTTCCTACTGCTTCTCTTAAATATTAAATGGGCCAAAGTAATTACCTTTTAGGTGTTAAAGCTGGCGTGTTTTACAATGGTCACATTACACCCAGGAGGGCTGCACGCCACTGCTGCTGTTTATATTTTATGAAGTGTGAAATGGTGCCCGGCCTCTCCTGGGGCGGGCTGCCGGGTGGCCGGCAGCTGCGGGCTGGGCAGATCTGCAGCTGGGCAAGCTGCAGGCACAGCGGGGTTTGCAGCAGCAGCCGTGCCCCCAGACTTGCTGTCTCAGCTCTCACCAGCTGCTAACAGCAAGGGTGCAATTTGGGGAGTGCTGAAGGGCCAACCCCCCAGTGGGGGAAGGAGCATGTCTGGGGGGTACCGATACGCCAGGCAGCGTCATGCCAGCCTCCGACACCATGTGCCGGTCAGACAGTGACTGTTTGGTTTTGTGGAGGTGTGAAAGATGGCCCTGCATCCCTCTGCCCAGGGCAGCAGGACGTCTTCCACGCCGGAGCAGCACGGCATGGGCATCTGGTCTCCCCAGTTGCAACTGCTCTGTTGGGAAGAGTTTGCATTGCGGCAGGCTGGGCTGAGCGGAGCCCTGTGCTCGTCCTGGGGCTCCTGGAATGGCTGGTGTGGGATGCTGGAGTGGCCGGTGTGGGATGCGAGTGGCCGGTGTGGGATGCTGGCTGCAGGAGCCTGGCCGGTGGGGCGGGTCTGTGGCAGCCCTGGCCCCGCAGCCCCTCCGCTCCCCGGCATGCAGCAGTGTGCAGAGATCTTCTGTCTGATGGGGATCAGCCTCTGTCCAGCCAGCTCAGATGAAAACAAGTGAAAACAAAATAAATCAAAGCCTGGATTGTTGAGGCAATTCCTCTGTTTGCTCCGGCACAGCCCTTGATGTTGGAGTCCTTCAGTCAGAATAAAAAATAATGGGAAAAGATCAAAGGGGAAGGGAAAGGGGGGGATGACTCACGGGTGTGCTGTGAAGCACCCCTCAACCCCCGGCCCTGGGGAACATGGCCTTTTGTTGCTTTGTGCATCACCTCGGCCAGGAGCGGGGGACCCTGGTCCCCCATGGGGCTGACCAGGATGTGGCCATCTCCTGTTCTCCATCCCAAACCCTCTCCCCTGCTACCAGTCGCCTGCTGTATTTTAAGGGCTTATCTTAGCCATGAGCCCCCGGGCTGGCTCCTCATCAGTCACCACCTAAAAGTGCTACCCAGAGGTCTCTGGGGGACTTTGCTTGTCTGCTCCCATTTCTGCTCATCCCCCCGTGTTCCTGAGCGTGCGCTGGCTGGCTGCCTCCGCAGCACCTTTCCTTCCTGGATTTGTAAAAGGATTTATCCTGTAGATTGCTTCCCTATTGATTTTAATCATTAAGCTGGAGTTGCTATTGCTGGATGTAAATAATGCGTGCCACCTCTGTTTGCTGACGGCGCTGGGACGAGTGCTGCTCTCAGGCTGATGGGGGCAGCAAATATTGCTGGGGCTGGGGAAGGTGATCCGGGATTTTGAGGGATTGGTTCGTAATCCCATCAGCTTCCATAAACACATCTGCTAGTTTGCTCCACTGAAGGTCTTGAAATGCACAACGTTACTGGTGCCGTGCTCGCAGCAGCAGCCTGGGTAGGTCGCATGGTCCACCTGGTCCCTGACTCGCTCTGAATTGCCTCAAAACACCTCCTTGAAGCAGGTCTCTTTCTCTCTGCCTGGTCTTGCTGGGCAGGTGGGATGCTCTGAGCACCTGGGGAACACTATAGTGGGGAAAATAGGTTCAAAAGCATTGATTAGAGATCCTTAAAGTTTTGAACTATCTTCTGACCAAAAAAAAAAAAGGTCCTCTTATGCTAAATGATTGCCCAAGGGACAAATCCTTCAACCTTTCTTGAGCCAGCCAGCTTTTAATATGATAAGTATCTTGCAAAGCTGAGAAAATCCTTACAGCTGTAGTTAGCAGAAGCATGTGCGTAGGGAAGGCAGCCCCACGTACTGCACGCTGCGCGAGCGGGAGCCGGGCAGGCCACCGAGACTGGGTCCGGTGCCTAGAGAGAGATACGGGAGTTGTGCCTGAAGGAGAAGGGGTTGCAGGAGGAGGCAGACGGACTTTAAGGAGGAAAAAGCTTTTTGGTTCAGTTAGTGATGTTACGCAGATGGGGAATGAGGTAATGCAGCCATGCCTTCAAGGTGGAAACCATCTTTTGATGTGGGTTGATTTATAGCCATTTTGCATCCCCGTCTCAGCCAAGCGTCCAAGTGATGCTGGGGGGCAGAGGCCCCCTCCCTGCCCACCGGCACGGCTCCTGCCTGCTTTGCCCAGGCTAGGTCTTTGCCCAAAGGGCATTTCCAGGCTGTGGTCTGCAGGGTCATCGCTCTGAGCGGGTCAGCAAGGGCAGTGCCTGGTCTGAAACTGCCCGTTAGGGATGCGAGGGAAGGGCTGATCCAGCAGTCTTGGGGGGATGGAAGGAAAGTGGGGGGCAGTGGTACAGCACCTCCACCCGCCTCCCCATCCCACGCTGCAAACAGCAGTCCCCTTTTGTTTTATTTTATTTTGATTTTGATTTTGAGGGGTTGCACATGGAAGTGGGCAGGGATGTTTGCCAGAGGTGCCGAGCCTGCACCCGGCTCCGCTCGGGCTGGCTCTGCCTGACCCGTTCGTGCCCCCCGCGTCCCCCTCCCCAGTTGGCAGGAAGCAGTTCATGAAATTCGAGTGTGCGAGCAATGCTGCAGAGGTGCTGGGCTGCGACCTGGAGGAGCTCACCACCGCCGTCTTCAAACACCACCTGAAGCAGATCCTGGCGCAGGTCATGGCACGAGGCAGCCGGCTGCCCCCGGCGGAGGAGAGCCTGGCAGGTACCGGGATGCTGCATCCCTTTTTCCTTTATTTATGGGTGATAGGGAAGTGCTTGCTCTGCGCTGCTCTGGACTTTTCAGGCAGTGAGGTCCATTTAAGTATGTTCGTGTTAATTAAATTATTAACTGTGCTCTGTCACGTAGCTACCCTCAGCTCTATAGCTGATCCTGCCTGTCACTCCTTAGGGACACCTGAAGATCAGGCAAATTCAGATAGTGCTACTGGCAGATAAGTGATGTGGATTAAATGCTGTGAGACATCTCCCTAGAAAAGGGGGAAAAAAAAACCCAAACCAGGAGGGCAGCAGGGTGAGCATCCTTCCCTGTGTCCACAAATGAAGCCGCGCTGGTGTTGTGCTGCGTGCGCCCGCATGCTGCAAGGAGACCTGGACATGGTGGGGAGTTGTGCTCCTGCTGGACAAACTGCTGCTGAGCCACTATAAACCTCGAATTAATATATGGACCTAATTCACAGAGGCAGATCCAGCATGCACATGGTGGGTGGGGTGAGATACCGCCCGGCTTTAAGGTCAGCCTTTCTATGCCCGACTCATCCTAGGAGGCAGAATCACAGCCGGGCCTCTGCAAGTTATTCCAATAAAGGCAAGAACTTGCAGAACTGGCCTTTAACATGGCCATAGTTTTATTTCTTAAATATACATTAGGCAGGAGGCACTAGAGGAGCTGAAGGCAGGTGGGTGGATGTGCACTGCTTGTGTAACCGGAGCGATGCCGTGCCTGGCAGGCAGAGGCTGGGAGCCATGCGGGTTATCCTGCCCAGCGAGCGAGGGAATCCCCTGCTACTGGCTTGGCTCTGCATAGGCTGAACTCAGCTGGAAATAAATGATGTGCCTTTGCCTGCTCTTCTCTCTGCCTGTGCCAGGACCGAAGATGACGGGTGTGGAGTGTGTGGAGGGGATGGCTTCGGGTCTCTATGAAGAGCTCTTTGCTGCGGTCGTCTCACTGATCAACAGGTACGGAGCTGCCGGGTGCCACGCTGAGGGTGTCTGTGGGCAATAGCTCCTTCTCCTGGGGCTGCTGAAGAGGAACCTATGCTGGGGGCTCTCCGGAGAGAGGCATGGAGCCGGTAACCGCTGCCTGCTGAAAAAAGAAAGTTATCTGAAAATCTCCTTCTGGGAGAGCACGTGGGCACTCGGGACCTTCCATGGGCTGTTGGCCCCGCATGAGCCGGCACCGGGGACGAAGGGCCCCACGGAGCAGCAATCTGTGCATCCGGGTGTTGCACGGGGCAGCACGTGTCCTGCCCCTCCTGCCGGCGCGGGCAGCGCCTGGCTGCCACCGCTTCTGCTGCAGCTGCTAAGCTGCCTGTCGGGAGGCAGCACCGTGAGCAGACGTGCCGAGCGGCGGAGCGCAGGGCATCGCAGCGCCGAGAGGAGCAGCCCAGCTACCTATTAATAATAGATGTGACTTTGCAGACCGAAATCAAGGTTACCAATACGGGCAGAGCAATAAACCAGTCAGGGAATTCCACAGCAAGCCCTGCAGATGCATGGTAGGAGTCGCTTCGTGGTAAAAGCTTTATCACAGGAGAGGATCGAGATGTCAGGCGTGAGAGGGTCTGGCACCAGAGTAGCTGCCGAGGTGCCCTGGGAGGCTGCGTCTGCGTCCTGCTGCCAGGTGCTGGTACGGCTGAGCAGGCGGCACCTTCCTCTGCGCCGGGGGCTTGTCCTCACTCTGCTTATTTCCATCTGGAGAGCCATGATGGGAAGGACATCCTCTGTGGCCTGATGTATCTCTTTCTTCAGGTGGTTTAAATCCGAAATGATCTATTTGGATAAATGGAATAATTTAACACCGGGGTAAGGATCAGGCCCCTGAACCATTCCGTTTTCTCAGTTCTGATGCACAACTCGGTTTGTTGAAGTCAACATCCACATAAAAGCTGGTGCCCAAAAATACTCTGTGTTATTGTTGCAGGTTTATTTTAACCTGCAGTTGAATATTTTTATTGTAATTCCTAGCAACCACATTCCAAAGGGAAGTTGCTGATGGTGCTCTAAGGGCTGACAGAAGAGCAAAATATTGCAGATTCTCCTGAATAACAGCATTAACTCGGGATGCATCCCAGGTCCCCTCTTCCCTTTAAAGGTAGCATTCTTTTGCCCATCTTTATTTTCCACACCAGCCCACCAAAACCTATTAAACCATGGCAACAATGATCCAGGTGAAGAGGCATGTTTCAGTGTATCATGAAAATGCTGTTTCCTCAGTGAGTTGATGGTGAACATGAATCTTTTCAACTCCGGTTGCAGGAGGGTGCTGCTATGAAATTCTGCAAGCAATCCATAAACATACTTTTGTTTCTTCATTCACCCCTGTGCTTTCATGGAGGTGCTGGCCTCCTTGGTGCCTTGCTATCGAGGAGAAATGCATCTCCTTTAATCTCGCTGAAGCAGCGGCAGGCTGCCCTGCCGGCGGGGCTGCTGGGGAAGAGGCAGCACTGCAGCCGGCAAAGCAACACAACGCAATGGCTGTTTCAGAAATATGCATTAAAAACAGTCTCGGAGGTTTCTCAGGGTCAGACCCCCCTGCTATCCTTATCTGAAATACTGGAAATGGCTGCAAGCAACATTTTAAGAAGTAAACATCTCTGTTTCTCTCAAGAAGCCCCTTGATGTCTGCTGCTCAGATCACGCGTGTTACGGGCTGTGGTTCCTATTAGAGATTTCCTCAGGAGCTGAACGTCACAGTTTCTCCTGTAGAAATGCTGCAGATGGCACAGCACGGCGCGGCAGCCGGGGCTTTGGATACTCACGTCATCCTCAGTGTTGGCGTCACGTGCCACTTTTCAAATCAACTGGTCCATCAAACTTAACATGTTTGGATGAAGATGTAGTACTTTAAATAACTAGAGTGCCAGGATGGGGCCAAGCGTGGGAAGGGTGGCATCTCATCCCACCCCACTGTTAAGAGTTCGTTAGGCCAGGTCAGGAGCAGCCTGTGCCACATGTCTCCATCCAGGCTGGGAGGAGACGCTGGCTTGAGTAGATCAAAGAAGAGGTGGGTGAAGCGTAAGGGAGAAGCAAAAGAGCCGTGCCAGGAGGTGTGGGTTCTCCTTGACCGGAGACACTGGGAGAGGGGGAGACGGGAAACGCTGGGCTGGTGCATGGGATGGTGCCCACCCAGGGACATGCACGTCGGGGAGAAGAGGCAGTGTCACCTCTGAAGGCAGAGCTCAGACACGTCCGTGGGTAAAACCCTGTGGTATGTGTGGCTCTTTCCCCAGGTCTTTCTCCTCCCAGCACCTCTCCATGGCCTCCATTGCGGTGGTGGACACTCCTGGCTTTCACAACCCACGGCACCAGCGGGGCAAGCGAGCAGCGACTTTTGAAGAGCTCTGCCACAACTACGTGCACGAGCGGCTGCAGGCCCTTTTCTACGAGAAAACCTTTGTTTCGGAAATGGAGAGGTACAGAGAGGTGAGGAGCAAGGGCTGGGAGCCCAACGGGTCCCTGTGCCCTGCCAGGGTGTGACCAAATAACACACTTCAGCAGCTTTAATGGGAGGAGCGTTGCAGAAATGAGGGGTCTGTATGGAGCAGTAGCCTTGAGACGGGTCTCTCGTCCCCCCGCTGGCCCAGTCACGGATCCTCTTGGGTATTTCTGATGTGCTAGAAATGCCAAGCTGCCTGGGCATCTCTTTGGGCAGGCTTGTTCCAGCTCAGGAGGCTTCACGCCCTTCTGTTGGTGCAGCTGAGGTTTTCCTTGGGTGCTGAATAGTAGAGAATAGAAAGGAAAATGATAAATTATTGCAGAAATAAGCTGCTGAAAAATCGGCAAGCAGAGATGAGCTTATTAGGATTGCAGAAGTTACTTTAATATCTCTAGCCCTGGGAAAATAATTGAATTCCCATGGCTTAATATTCACCCATCACTTGTGCCAAGTAAGTATATATGTGCTCGTCATTAGTGATGAATATGTAGTTACTGACCAGGCTTGAAATGACAGCGGGCTCAGCAGGCTCGCCTTGCCTTGGTTTTGTTGCTGGCTAAGGAAGGCTGCCCTGGTGCAAGACGTTTCCCTGTGAGCCATGAGACTGCAACTGTGAGCCCGAGCCCCAGTGACCCATCTACTCCCAGAGCTGGGTCACACATGGGGGTGATGGTGGCACGTGCCCTTGGTAGGAAGAAACTTGGGCCCCGTTGCTGCTTTCTGCTCCACCTGCGCTCTTACGCTGGAAACCGGAACCCCTGAGCAAAATCTCACCGTGTTACCATGGAGAGACATTAAAACTATGGCTCTTGCTGAACATCCCCGGTTCACATGTGAGCGAGAGCAAGCCGTGCTTACCCTGCCCCTCCCGGCGGGGCTCCCCGTGCCCCAGGGCATGGCACGGAGGAGTGTTGGGAGTGGGTGCTGGAGCCGTGGGTGGTGGGTGAGCCCTGCAGCCGGGGGTTCGCAGCCTGAAGTCCTCGGTTGAGAAAGGGAAACAATGCCTGCAAGCTGCGAATTAAATAATTGATTGTTTTCTTGGTGCTTTCTCATTAAGTCTTCATTTATTATCATATCCATGATTTATGCAGCTTGTCTGACATCCACAAAGCGCTGCAGAAGTCCGTTGGGTGCAGTGGTCCCGACAGCCCTGCCTGCGGGGGTAGACGTTGCCGTGCCTCTGCATCACAGCAGAGGTGTCTCCGGTGGCTGCTTCGCTCTGCCAGCACTGGATCCCTGCAAAGCCAAGCGGGAGCACGGCCCGCGCCATCCTCCTCCCCCTCCGTGCAAACAGATCTCCTCTTGGCTTTCAGATGCCAGACCATGACTGAAGCAAGCTTTTAAATAATGTTTTCCAGGAAAATGTTGAGGTGTCTTTTGATCTTCCAGAGCGCTCGCCACTGGCCACGCTGTCCATCGTCGACCTGAGCTCCTCACAGGTAACCTGTCCCTGTGGCCATGGTGGGAGTTGTTTGCTCTGGCCATGCTTGAAGCATCCTTGTGCTCAGAGGAGTGAGGATTTCAGGGGCAGAGTGGGACCTCGCGGTGTGTTTTGCATAGAGCAGCCCAGGGTGTTGCAGGGGAGTGCACAGCATCAACCTGGACCTTTTTGGCTTTTTAAAATACAAGCACCCTTCCTGGTCAAGCCCTGCTCCGGGCACCCCTCCCAGCCTGGCTGCAGAGCTGGGATGACTTGCCCCTGGGACACAGTGTGACTGCGGAGGTCTCAAGGGTGATGTCCAGAGCTGGATCAGGCCAGGAGGGTTTCCTGACCCTGGTCTGGGGCAGGGGACACGGTTGAGCAGAGGTGGTGGGGAGCAAAGTGGGAGCAGGCTGGCATGGCTGTGGCTGGAGACGACTGTCCAGAGCCTTCCTGCCCCTTCCCTGTCACCAAAGGCCATCTCCCTTTGGCAGCCGCAGGTGCTGCCCAGCAGCCTGGGGGCCGATCGCAGGGGGCTGTTGTGGATCCTGGACGAGGAGGTGCTGATCCCAGGCTCCGGGGACGAAGCTGCCTTCGACCGCCTGTGCTCCTACTTCGTCACGAAGGGACCCAGTCAGGAGGGTAAGTCTGGGTCAGCTCGGCTGCCCATCCTTTGGCATCGCTATTTAGCTTTGGCAATTTAAGAAACCATGCAACAAATTAAATATCTCACTGGGCTTTTCTTCTTGGGCAATTCTGGGGTGCCATGGCAGGGGACAGCTACATGTGCAGGTGCGAGCAGGCGCTGCACTTCGAGATCTCCCACCAGCTGGGCACGGACCCTGTGCGCTACGACCTCACGGGCTGGGTCAGCAAAGCCAAGCTCAACCTCTCGGCACAAAATGCCATCCAGGTGCTGCAGCGGTCCAAGGTGTAAGTACGAGGGGGTGCCGCAGGGCTGGTCTGCCACGGCGCCGGCAGTCATCCCTGTGCCCATGAGAGCAGTTTGGGATGACTCCCACCGTGAGCCGTGCTGCTCCAGCTGGGGCTGGAGATTGCAAACCTGCCCCAGCTCCGAGAGGTGGTTCGTGGTGGGGAAGGTGGAGGGTTGTGAGGCATCCCAATGGGGAGGAGAGGACCCATAGCCTGGCCGAGGTCAGCCAGGGCGGGCAATGGCCTTGGCACTGGCTGCGAGGGGTCCCTGCCTGTCCCCCCACCTCCTGCCCAACGCATAGCCCAGGTGACAGAGCTGATACGGTTGCGGGTGGGCAAGGAGGGGATGGGATCTTGAGCGGATCCCGTCTGCACGGCAGCTGGAGGCACCTGCCGATACCGGTGTTGCATTGCTGGAGTCCAGCTCCACCCAGGGGAAAAACTGCAAGGAAGCCAGAAAAAAACACAGGTTTCAACCCAGCTTTGTGGGAATCCTGAGAGTTTAGTTAAGGTGGGGGGAGCAGGTGTCAAGTGATTTGACTTACAGCCATCAAGCCCTCGGGCTGACTGACAGCCAGATGTACACGTTGTGATCGCAGTAGACGCTACAGAGCGAGCTGGTGAATAATGCCGCAGTGAACAGCTTTCCATCAAAGCTGTCTGGGTTATTCGAGACAGTAGATCCGTGCCATTGACGTTTCAGTGGGGGTCCCCTCCTGCAGGTGTGGGCAGTGGGGGGTGCAAGGGGGCACAGGGGGACCCTGCGATGTCCTTGGCTCCGCAGTGCCGTGGGGTTGGGTGTCCGGTGCGGGTCGGGGCCCCAAGACATCACTGGCTGAGGGCAGCTCCCCATGCAGCAACCGCTCAGGTTTTCCCCACCGCTTCGAGGAACCTTGTAAAGTAAATTGGAATTGAAACTTAATCGAGCTGCTGCAGATGTCTCCACATACGGGATGATTTTAACCTTCTGCTTAAACACTCCCAGCTCATTTTCTTTTGGGCTTAAATTCAGGAAAGTTTTAATAGTGGTCAACAGCTTGGTGCCTGAACCAGAGAGGAACAGAGCGGGTGGGTGGTGTCCTGGCACCCCTGCTCTGCTCCACGGCCAGGTGTCCTGTGGCAGCACCAATGCCGAATTTGGGGTGCTGGCCATTGCATCCCCGTTGAAGGGGTTGGGAAGCAGAGGTTCCCCGGCGCTGGCACCGCTGCGGCCCCACCGCCCTGTCTCGTTGCTCACCCCAACAGGGATGCCGTGAAGGAGCTGATGTTGCTGCGCTCGCGGGCGCTGCTGGCCTGCCGTGCCGTGGCGGGGCTGGAGGGATGCTCCCAGGCGGTCCTGCACCGCAACGGCTGTGTGAGGAAGACCTTTGCCAGCAGCTTCGCAGCTGTGAAGAAGAGGTCGGTGTGTGCTCAGCTCAAACTGCAGGCGGTGAGTGCGGGCACCGGGACCCTCGTGGCTGCAGGTCGGCGTATTTGCAGCACTGCGTATCCTGACCCCACACTGAGGCCCTGCCTTAGACACACTTCTCCTTAGCGAGAGCCCTGCACCCCTCAGCAGGCACCTCCTGCACCGCAGGGCTGAGGGTCACCATTGCAGCTGTGTCCCGCAGGGCTCTTGGCCCAGGATGCTGCTCTGGCCGCAGGTGGCTACAAGCCTCCCCAGCATCACTGTCGCTCAGGGAAAGCATCCCAGGCAAACAAATCATAAAGCAGATTACACACGCACCTTGCTGTGCCGCCGCTTAATCCTCTTAAGCCCTCAGAGTAGACTAGCCCTCTGGGCTGGGCACGTGCCAATCTCCTGCTGATCTCAGCCATAATTAGGTGCCTAAACTCTCTCAGTCTCCGTAGACTCCCCAGCCAGCCCGCTTTGTGGTTCTGGCCGTCCCTGGCAAACCCCCACCCAGCAACCCTCAACCCTGGTAACTTTTTGTAGCCCATCAACCAAAAACATCGGACATTAGGAGGAAGGGTCCCACTCAGCATCTGTGACTTGCACCTTGGGCTCACCTCTCTGACTGAAGCTGTTGTTCCTAACGTGCACCTGAGCTTTGAGGGCTCTGAGGATGACTCCTTCACCTGCCCAGACACGCTGCGGCGGGTGCATGGGGAGTGTTTCCCACCACTGCCGCCTGCTGCTCCTTTGCCCCATGCCCCCCTCCAGCCCTGCTGACCTCTGCTTGCCTGGCAGGACGCGCTCACGAACCTGCTCCGACGGTCCCAGCTGCACTTTGTCCACTGCCTCCTCCCGGGAATGGGGGCGGAGGGGGTGGAGGGGCCGGTCCCTTGGCCCCCCGCACCGCCTGATGCAGCCCTGCGGCTGGATGTGCCGGCCCTGCGAGCCCAGCTGGAGGGGACCCAGCTCCTGGACGCCCTGCGCCTCCACCGCATCGGTACGCCCTGGCCCTCCACTGCTGCAGTGTGCTGGGCCGGTCCCGCCTCCGGTGCTGCCCTGCCGGCAACTCAGCCCTTCCACGCTTTGCTCATCATCTGCCTCTCACCAGCCCCACTTCAGCAAAACCCCTGGGTTTTTATTGCTGCTTTTTGCACGGGTGCCCAGCCCCTCTCCTGCCCGCAGCATGCAGTGCTGCTGGGTGGCACAGCTCCGGTGGGGTTCCCCTGTGCATCTGTGCATCAGGTTGGACCTGCACCGACCGCAGTCACAGTCCATGCCAGGGGGAGAGGGACCCATGCAGGAGGCCCAGGGGCATCTCCTGCATGACACGAGGTGCTGGGATGGCGTCTGGCCACCTCAAGCGCATCTCCACTGCTTCTCCACTCCCTCTGCCCTGACCTCACTACAGGGGTTTCTCTCTGCTAAGGGCAGCTTCCCTGGTCCCCATCACCCGCGATACCTTTTGCTGCGTGCAGGACATGCCACCCTTTGCAGCAGCCCCCACCGCTGGTTCCCTCCCTGACATTTCAGTGCAAGCCACGTGCCCCTGGGCTGGCACAGCCCCCAGAGATGTCTGTCTGCCCCCAGGGTATGCGGATCGCCTGCTCCTGACCCAGTTCCGACGGCGCTTCCAGGTCCTGGCTCCGGACGTCATGAAGAAGTACAACTCTGCCTACGAGGTGCCAGACGAGAGCAAGGTGCGTCCCGGGCTGGCCTGGGGAGCGTGGGCCAAGAGCCCCATGTAGGGCGCTGCCAGTGCCGGAACTCTTCCAGCCTTCCCCAACATGGTCAGGGCTTTCTTTGCAATGAGGAGCAATTCCTGGAGTTCCCTACAGGCAGCCCCTGTGCTGGCATTGCCTGTACCCTGCGTGAGCCCAGCTGTCCTCTCTCCAAACGGGCTGGGTCATGCGAGCATCTCCCTGCCCTGGGACAGGAGCTGCTTTCCCAGTCCCTGCCTCGCTCAGGCATTCGGTGTTGCTGATATTATTCCTTTGGCTGCTGTAGGGTCAATACCCGCAGGTCTGTGGGCTGCCAAGCTCCAGCGTCTCCCAACAGCTGTGGATGATGCTCCTTTGCTCTGTTGCTGCAGGATCCACCATGGGTGGGAGTGCACATCTGGACAGCTGTTGAGGAACTTTAGTAGCAGGGTTGTCAGTGCAGGTCTGGGGGTTTCTTAAATGCGAGGCTGTCCTCAGGAACTAGGGATGAAGGAGAAAAACCACATTCAGCAAGGCTTCAGGGTAGGTCACCAGCATTCGCAGTGCTGCTGAGAAACCGCGATTGGGTTTGGGAGTCTGCAGGGTCAGCCTGTACGTCCGGGCTCTGGGCGGTCGGAGCTCCCTAGCAATGATCAGGAGTGGTCTGGCAGTGGGGCTGCGTCCTGCGTGGGTGCAGCCTTGTGCAGCGCTGGTTGCAGGGAGTGGCTTTGCATCCTGCTCCTCTTTGCCCTTCCCATGCGTGCCTGAGCATGGAGGGACACGGGTCCTCCAGCAACCTGGCAGAGCAGCCAAGCTCGGCTCTTTGTCCCGGAGTTTCTCCCCCTGAGGACTGTTTTCGCAAAGGCAGTAAACGTGCCTGGCGTGAGCTGCATTTGCCAATGTTATTGCACCATGGAGAGGACTTGGAGAAATCAGCCTGGAAATGAAGACTGTTATTGCTTCTTTTTAATACTCAAGAGGAAATGGCTTTGAAAATCCTGCTTGCTCAGGGCTGTGCCTTGGTCCTCCGGTGTTCTGGCTGCATGCCTGGTAGGTCTCGTTTTGCAGGACAGGGCACAAACTGTGTGACTGGCGACATGTGCAGAGGGCAGGATCGTGTGCATTGCTCTGGCCCAGCATGGCGGCACCCTGTCACCCTGGCTCCCCCAAAAACCAACTGGCTGAGGACAAGCCAGGCAGCATTCCCAGGGACCCAACAGAGCAGGGACCATGGAGGTTCCTGGGGACTGGGCATCACCTGCCTTCAGGCACCTGTAAAGCAGCAGTGCAGGGTGGCTCCTTGCCTCGTCCCACAAAGCCTGAAAGCCAAAGGAGCTCATGAATGAAGGCGGAGATTTGCTAGTTTTATTTGTTTCATAATAAATTTGTAGCAAAAACTGGGGAGAACCGCCCCTGCTCCTGGAAGAGGCTATGAGCGAGCCAAGAAGCACTGAGAGCCGGGAAGAGCCGAGAGGAGATGAATTAAACATGGGCATGTGCTCTGTTGTGCAAACTGCCAGCCAGCGTGTGCAAATTCAATTACGACCTTGGGATTTAATAAGACAAGTTTGACAGTCAGAAAAGGTCAATATTGTTATTAAATGCTGTAAGGAGGCAGAGGGTGCCTCGTCAGCAGCGTGTAAGCAGGGGATTTGAAAAATCCCATCTTCCCTGGAGCTTGTTGCCACGTGGTTTTGTTAGCTGCAGACTGCTTCCCGGTAAGCTGCATTAACTCGGCCGCTGGAGCACAAGAGGTGCTTGTATGTAGCAAGAGTGTGACGGTGCAGCAATAACCGACCCCGCTGTTGTGCATGGGATGGGACCGTCCCGTGCAGCCCTGTGCCTGGCCCCAGTCCCAGCAGTGCCACAGGAGTGGGGCACAGCCGCGGTGCTGGTGCTTCCTCACCTCTGGCACAGAGTTTTGTGCACCGTGGTGGTCTGTCCCCTGTGCACTTGTGTGCTCCGTCCCCACCTCACCCTGGTGCGTGCATGGCTGCTGGCGAGGGCTAGAGCTGCATTTCTGCTGCAGCAAGGTGCTCCTTGGGGCCGTGCTGAAATATTTCTCACGTGGATTTGTCCTTCGTGAAGGAGATGCGTGAGGCTGCCACAGGATGTCGTATGGAGTGAAGTATTAGTGGAGGATTTTTGTTAAAATTTCTGTAGCTCTGGGGTTTTCAAATCATCCATTCGTCCAGGTAGTGTTTGCTGCCCTGGGGCAATGTACGGTATTGCTGGCTGTTATGTTCCACATGTCATAGAATCATAGGATCATTAAGGTTGGAAAAGACCTCTAAGATCATCGAGTCCAACCGTCAACCCAACAC